AATTGTATTATTATTATTATTATTATTATTATTATTATTATCTGTGCAGACTACCATCTGAAGTACAAGTCATAATTGTTTTCTGATCCCTTTAGAACTGAATGAGAGTAACTGAACCTGAGGGGATATGCAAAACTGGTTTAAAAATATCTTTAATCCTTGTGCATCCATGAAAAATAAGTCAGCCTCTCTGCACCATCTCAAATGCTCCAGAATATTCTGAGGGCGTTTCAGGCAGCAACAGAGATGCTGGTGTTATTATAGGCTCCACCTCCCCAAACATAGGATGATTAGTCAGCCACAGTAACACAATGTGTAACCCAGCTGTACTTATTTTTGATTGTGTAATCAACAGCCATGATTTCACTTCCTCTGCTTCATGTCCTTTGTCATGTCTCCCACCCGCCCTCCACCTTGCCCTCACCTTAACATAGAGTTGCTGAAATTCATCCAGGTTGAGAATGCCAGAAGGACAGTCTTTGAGGAAGCCTTTGTACCACTGCTTGAGCTCTGCTTCATTGAATTCAGTGCTTTTGGTCAGGTCATCCAGGACCTCTGGAGCTAGCTTGCTGTTGTGCTTCCCCATGATGCCAAATCTCTCTAGGATAGGGGGAGACACAGAGCAACCGACAGGGTGAAGACACAGGTAAGGAAGTTCTAGACAAACAACAGCAACACCAGTATTGCTCTGTGTTGCTGCCAGAGCACAGGTCTCTGAGGACATATACAAACAATGAGCTACCTGTTTTGTCATTGTGTGGCTTTATATTGTCAAAATACACAGTCAAATTCATTTTAGCAAGCCATTTAGTCCTGTATTTGTTTAACAAACCCACCTAAAATAATGAAAATGTGCACATATTACTCCTCTGAATTATGAAGACCAAATAAATGCCTATTTAAATTATTTAAGTTAATATTAAAGTATTGTTAAAATAGAATTCTCCGCATCTCATAACGGTAGTCTCACATTAAAAATCTTTAATAATATGACTAAAGCAATTAATCTCATAGAGCACTAGCTTCTTTTACATGAGCTTCAATGTGCTGGGCTTTCACCAATGTGGTAGTTTAGCTTGTACCTTCACAACAGCATGCAATGTTGTTGCATAAGGGTGTAAATAAAATGATTTAACTCAACAAAAAGGTATTCCTCAGGCCTCTAGTTTAGGACCACTGGAGCTTTATTCTATTTTTATTCACCATGTCCATTTTTTATAATTGCTGTGTTCAATTATAAGCCAATAATATTATTATTTATTAATCCCACCTGTACTGTTTACATTCCAACTTTGCACATGCACATTTGCACACGCATAATTGCACACTCTATTGCACTTCCAGCTCCAACGTAGCATACGTTCTATCTTTATTATATTCTTTATATTTTTTATTATATTTGTTTCCACTTGCTGTTTTTAAGTGCCTTTAGATTTTGTGTACTATTTATCTACCTTATATTTCACTTTGTATCGTTTGGCATTCATTGCGGACAGCAAAGTAAGAATTTCACTGTACAGGGAAACACATTTCTTTACTGTGCACATGACAATACTTTGATTGATTGATATATACTGTACACCAAAACCATATTCACATATGACAAATTGAAGTGGCTTTGCAATCTGATTTTAATATTTTACAAAATTTGCTGTCAGCTAAAAAAAATTCTTAACCTCAACTCTACATGTGCAAAAGAACAT